CGCTTAAGGTTTGCGGAGAATATCGACTACTCTAATAACGTCCTGTAGACCCGCCTGATGTACACAATGTCATACCGTGCTGCCCATTTCATCTGGAGTGAGAGAAGAGTGAGTTCTTCTCGGCGTTGTCGATTGAATCAATCCTATTGCGCAGAGATCTATGAGTTCTTAATAAATATTCTCAGCCCGAATACCCATTAGACCTTGCAATTTGGCGGGTATAACCTATAGAGAAAGCGCGTTCCTGACGTCTGGATGACCGGGCAGCGGTCGTGAACATATTCCTTACTATGGAAGATTTCGTTTTGGTGGGGTGTGCGGAGAGGTTACAAGGATATTTTTGCTGTTGTGCTTACGGTACTCACTTTGTTTTACACTCTCCCTTTGATAGGTAGATCTGCACTACTAGGAATGCAAGCCAATTTTCGCTAGGCTTTTCCCTAGTGAACTTGATGCTTGTAAACTGCTGATTGAGGATATTGAAGCAGATGTTCAACTCAGTTTGAATGGATCATGGGATACAACAGTTGTCTATGTCACTACAGTGCAGCAGTGGCTTTTGTGCGAAGATTGGCGCTTCTACCTTTGACATGAAGATAATGGCGAGCGAGAGTAGGTGCCAATTGTTAACCTATCACAAACCGCCTAACATGTTTGTAGTAATGACCTTAAAATCGAAAGACGGAGCAGTGTAAGCAAGTGCTTAGAAGGGTCATTATACTGTTTATGGTGAATCCGTATGAGTTAAGAGAAGAATGATGCGCTGAAAGTAGCTTCCCAATAGCTCGTACCTCCATCGTTTGATACATTAGTGTATAGCGAGGTAACTTCAAGACTCCATGACACAATCCTTATTGAATTGGCTGGGGCGAAGACGCTCGAGCAGTTTGTTGGTATCGGGAAGATGCGTAGGGACTTACTTGGGCAATGGTGCCAACATTACGTTAAGAAGCCATGATATTCCATCAATTGGACATCCAATATTATAATTGTGGACCATGAAGTCGCTCACGTTATTTGAGGTTAGTTCTGTCTCGGATAGCTTGTGGGTTTTGATTAGCGTGTAGAGAACAGAACAAATGGGCAGACCGTTCTTCAGACGTGTGACGATGCTTTTAAGCATCCCTCCCCCCTCCGATTGAGACTACTCAACCATACCCTAGGCGGCAATACTGCTTTTCCAACTCGCTGACGGATGAAGGTAGATATACAGTATCATCTTCCAGGTGATTTTGGGTGATAACCATGTCTAGTTCATGTAAAATACCACGTTGACAACATTTAGATGGGTTGGAAATGTTAAAATCTGCTACACCGCTGGGTTCACATCGTCTAGTTCAACACAACAACGCTGAGATACAAGAATGAAAATCTTGTCGTACGACTTCGAAATCCTAGCGCGCAAAATATTGGAATTGTTATGGATTAACGCCAAAAGTCCAAAAATGAATAGAGAGGAGGAGTGCATCGCTATCACTAGAGAGCTGGCCCCTTATCACTTTGTGGATATGAATATGAGGTCAGATTATCTCGGCACATATACAAGAGCTTTGAGGTGCGGTTTTGATAATAGGTGGTCTGTCTTTTCACACCTTTTGCTGTCATCTAAGGTGAATAATGCTATTGTATTATGGTGGTGTTTCAACCTCCTTCTTTTATGTTATCCTGAGCTTTTTGTTGACGTCTGAGAGAACAGCGCTTATGTATTTGGCTTTAGGCTCTGACGAAGGTGAAACCGCCAAACGTTAGCCAATAA